CAGCATTTATGAACACAAAACTTTAACCAGGTTGGATGTAACAATATTTGCTATAAAATCCATCTCTGAAAACTACAGCAAAAACAAACGTTTACACAGTACCTAAAAGCAGTCTCCTTTCCTCCTCAATTGCCTATTGACTCATACTTAGAAGGGGCTGTTTAGAATTCCTTTAGGCCATTTTTTGCTTTTGTTTGTTTTGTGTTGAGTGCCTGGGACTTTCCCCTTTCTTCTTCAACCTCTTCACACATCACTGCACATCAGGTGCAGCATGGAGCTACATAGGGTGTGGATATGAAGCAAGTTCCATTGTTGAGGACAGTGTGTGGGTGGGTATTGTAACAGCTCATGTCTGACCCCTGGTGACCTTTATTGCATGGATTGTATCCTGGTATTTGTAATGTCCAAGTGCCGTATCCTGTTAAACCCTCAGACAATTGTCATTGCCATTATTCACAAGATAGCCGTTTCAATATCAGATTTCCCCAAATCCATTTTTTTCAAGCGGCAATGAATTATGTAGGAAAAAAAAAAATTGTATAGGCTTTATTCACGAGTCGGGCATATTGATTTGAAAGCGAGTTAAAATCTTCATTTTTTTTTTTAATTTGGGAAGAGAAATGAAAAGCACTGACATAAAGTTTATTACAAATTGATACCAGTCTGCTCTGATGAGTAATTTAAAATATGTGATTAAACATAGCCTAATGTTTTAAGCCACATTTAAATTTTTTTTTTTAAATGAGGCCAGAATGCATTAAGTAGTCTGGCACCATCCCATTCAACAGTTCACAATATATCAATACATTCAGGGAACACGACCAAAATGGCTGCCTCATGAATAAGGTCCGTTGACCCATGGTGTACGTTAAAAATATTCAAACAGTTTTATAAATCCTCCCTGTCTGCTACTAATAAATTCAGGCCCAAGTCTCCGTAGCCTGGCCGACAGACTCTGGGACGACAGTACCAGCACAGCGGCCAAACCAGCCTGGGATAATAATCCTCCCCCCCCCCCCCTTTCCACCCCGATCCCTCGGTCACCGGCTCGCGATAATTACGAGTCTGGTACATATGTAAATGTTTACACAGACCGGGGCAATCGGACATGTCATCTGATACACTGAACATGCCATTTGACAAATAAATACCGAAGGGGGGGGGGGGGGAGGTAGAGTGGGGGTGCGCAACGCATGGCATATTAAGCACGTGTGTGTATGTAATCGGAATCGCCTCATGCAAAATTAATGCTGTCATCTTCTTGTTGCTAAAAACAACAAGAGGCCCTGGGAAACCACACGCACAGTTTTGAAATTTTCTTTGTAAAAGTTGAAGTTCTGGTACTTGTACAAGAGCACATGTACAATGAGTATGTACATGTAGTCATGGCCAAAAGGGTGTTTAACAAAACATGAAGTAAAATTTTGCAACAAAATTGCTGGGAATAATAAGTGAATTTTTGATTTCGGTATTTTAAACCTTTGGCTGTGGCCATTATATGCGTTCAGGCCCCTAGCCCGTTTTAAACGCACAATTACAACCGGACCAAGCACATTCCCTTGTTTCATTAATATAGTCATGCATAGATTATTCAGGGCTAAAAATTGTGCATTGTTACCAACAATTAATGCACAATTTTTTATTCATGATGTTTTATTTCAGATTCATCAAGGATGCAAAAAAAAAAACCTCCAGCTACATGTATCTTATAGAGCCTGTGGTTACAATGGCATATCTGCAACAGCGCCCTCAGTGTTCAGGAAATAGCATGGACATTGTAAAGTACATACATGTACGAACACTGTACATTGTAAATAATGAGAAAAAAAACCCAAAGAAAAAAACAACAAACAAATAAACAAACAAGACACACAAATGTCAACCCCAAAATATTACCAAAACATCAGCACATGGCTTGAGTCTCAATTCCATACAGTTCAGAAGAATGGATACAGCAACTGTTATTTTCACGTAAAATTCATCTCGTTCCTTTTTAATATGGAAATCAGTAAACATGGTAAAGTGTTATGCATTTGTACATGGGTTTGACATTCTAACAAGGACATGAAAACCACAAGGACTATGAGAAAACCACAAGGACTATGAGAAAACCACAAGGAAACCGACTCTGGCATTGTAGCCTTCAAAATATTTCCTTCCCTATCGTATCAGCAATACACTTGACACAAATGACATTACTGATTACCCGACAATGTGATTCAATACCCTTAAGTGGATTTGCACATAAATGTGAAAATTTTCTGTCAATTCCAATTTCTTTGTGTCACGGATGCAGCACTTAAATCTTCTGCACGATAATCAAGTGCAGTATTGAAGCTGATGACTTTAATGATGTCCTCCATGTACAGCTTCCCATTAAAGGTATACGGTACATTTGCAAACATCAAAAACAAAACTACCAAATTATTATGAAATACCTTACTTGACTGTAAGTGTTAATGATAGTCTCAAGCATTCTGTGAAATTATGGCACCTGGTGTGCTGTCATTTTCCAGAAAAGTGACATTTTTGCAAATTGAAAATTTTTTCCAGTGATGGTCAGCCAACCATATTTGGAAAAAACCTGACCAACTAGTCTGGTTCCCTAACCTAATAATTCCCCCGATGTCCATACAAATTGTTTGGTCTGAAGTAGGGTCAGGGCACCAGACTACAAGAACAGCATCTTTTTTCTTGGTTTCTCCAGCATCTGTTGTACATACGAACACAAAACTTTAAACAGGTCAGGGTAACAATGTTTGCTTTAAAATGCCAACCCCCAAATCCATCCATTTCTGAAAATTACAGCAAAAGCAAATTGATGTTGTACATGTATATTAATCTACCTTTATTCATTCACATGTCCAATTTCAAGCATTAAAAAGAACAAAATGACAGTTCACGGAGCTTTAAAATGGTTATATTTTGTCACCAGGCATGCCGGGGTAAATGTGATTCTTAAATTTTGGGCTCGTTTTTTCCTGTCTCTGTTTATAATACTGACATTTAATTTTGTAAAATTGTAAAATTTAGTTGATGCACTCCTACATGTACGTACTTTATTCCTCCTCTAGGGGTGATAGCTGTGAAGCAAATGACCTCCCCAACAACTATATTTAACAACATTTAAATTGCAAATTTCGACGTTCAGAGGTAACATTGGGACAGGAAAATGTCACACTTTGGACCCTTACTTTATGGAATGCCCCATGTTAAAGGGAAAATACAGCATTTGCAAACATCAAAAAATAAAACTACCAAATCATTTTGAAATACCTTGCTGGACTGTTAGTGAATGACAGTGTAAAGCATCCTGTAAAATCATGGCACCTGGTATACTGTCATTTTCAAGAAAAGTGGTATTTTTGTATCAATTTCCAACGCTGATCGGCCGACCAGCGTTGGAAAAAACTGGCTTTTTTTTCTTCAAATACTGGCCCCAGTTGACCATCGCACTTGTTTGCAATCGATTACACACCTATGAACGGGTACAAGCCAGCTAGACTGGTTCCCTGACCTTACAATTCCCCAATGTATGTAAAAAGCTCTGTTTCTTCTTAAATGGAGTCAGGGAACCAGACTACAGCAAAATGATTGTTTTTCTTGGTTTTTATAGCATTTTCGAACCCAAAACCTCAAAAAAGTCAGTGTAACTATATTTGCTATATATTTCCAACCCCCCAATTCCATCCATTTCTGAAAATTACAGCAAAAGCAAATGATGTATATTCCCTTTAATATAATTATTCAAGAGCACAATTTTGTGAAAGAACCCAGCTTTACATGACCGCACACGGTTGTCATAGTGAGACACGCATAAATGTAAAATAAAAGAGAAAACCTCCCCACATTAGATTGTGGGCATCAGCCATGGGTGTTTTTCTGGCCTCACCGTGTGGGAGATTTTTTTTTATTGATTAGTGCCGACGAGCGACCGCCGACACTGAGCCGCGTTGTCCAACGCCATCGCTGCGGAGAGAGATTTCTCCCCGCATACATAATAAGTCTCGATCGTATACAAGTGCCTCGCACAAGTGCAGAGATTACCGTACCTTGTACGTGGTCTGATCCGAGGGCCCCATGCGTTTCTGGACGTGGTTTTTGTTGTTCTCCACTGAACTCTGCTGGTTGTGTAAGATGAAAATGTGGGCTTGATGACAGCATGGTTGTGGATGGTCTGTAGTGTGCACATGACGAGCGTGATCGGAATATATGTTAATGCAACATCGGCATTTTAAGTTGGATTTTATTACCAGGTAATTGCATTAAGATCTAATGTTGCTGTAGTGAACTGTGTGTACATACATCAGGGGTGTGAAATCTCAGCTTTAAAGCTGATTTCAGCTCTTTTTTTTGGCTTTTTACATGTGCCAGGTAGTACACTGTACTGGGCAATATTGTACATGTACACGTACATGTACAACTCTGTGTTCATGTGCTTGAGCAGCAAATGCAATAGGGAATTCTGTGTCTATTGTGCAGCATGTACATGTATTGTACCTGGATACACCATACATTTGTACATATTTGTGTGTAAAAAATGTACATACATGTACGTATACATGTGCATGTACCATGTGTACCGGTAGGCCTACATGTTCATGGGCCATCCTATAAATTTCGGGTCTCTTGTTGCCATTACATGTACATTGTGCATGTACCGGTACCTACATGTACATCACAGTACATGTATGAACTTCGCAATTTGCCATTCAAGTATACATACAATGAGGTGTGTTTTATAGCTCCATGGTACCAGGTAGTTTGTGTACAGCTGCATTAAGTACTACATCCAGAATTACAAAAACAGATGTCAGATGTACATGTACAGATGTACATGTACAACGTGACAGGGACAGGCAAAAAAGTGGACCCAAAATCGGTGGAATAACCACATGGTATGTATGGTTGTATTTTCAGTGCATTAGATGCTCATTGATGCACATCATTAGAGTCAATGATTAATTTTGATTTGATTTGTTTCTGTCATTGATTCACAGATCTTTGGAAACACCTGTGGCTGCAATCCACATTCTTTGATTTATTGTGCAGATCCAGGTGAGTAACCTATACACATGTATACATTGTATACATTGTAATACATGTATACATACATGTAAGTCTGCCAGAGCTACTCTTGTGCATAATATCGAGACTGCGAGGTTGTGGCTATAGGAAGTTTATCTTACAGCCACAATAAACACTCATGACATTTGTGTGAAAGAATTGCGCAGTGTTTTTGCAGCATGTGGGTGTTTAATGTAGGAAATTTATCTAATAGCAAAAAAAACCAAAAAAAAAAACACCAGCATTGAAGTTACCTACAAAATTGCCATGGAATTGCGTGGTTGTATTGCAACATGTGGATGTTTATGTGTACATTGTGTGCACAGGAAATGATTTCATTGTCACACGACATATGTTTGTACCGCGGAACAATTACATGTACTTCCCTGCCAGGGATGTTTTGCTGACTGTGCTTTTTTCCTTCTCTGTTTACGTGCAGTTCCTTTTTAATTCCGACTTCATACCTATAACCCATTTTGTCGTTTATCACAAGATTTTTCCCCTTTACAGCTACCCTACTAAAAGTTGTTTTCTAAGTTTGATATGTTTGAGACCTATTTTGTAATCTTTACTTTTTTGTTTATTACACTGTTATTTCGGTTGTGTAAAAATCAAACGGTTGTGTACTGTATGAACCTAGCAACCTGTTGTGTTAACTGTTGTTTACACAACTTGTGTAAAATATTACACAATTACTTGTTCTTTTTTTTTTTTTACACAACTGGTTGCTACCGGGTAGGTTCATATAGTACACAACCGAAATAACAGTGTTTTAACAAACTTTTGATGACTTAAGACTTGTGTTAATTGTTTCTAATTTAATTGTTTTTTATTCCCCGCCCCCCTGTTTTTTTTTTGTTAAGTGTTAAGACCCGCATTGAAAACAAAATTTTGAATAAATACATGTAGACTCGGTCATGGCTGGTTGGGCAGCTGTACCATGTTAACCCTCAATCCTCCAAAATCCTCCTGCCAATTTTTGATGATTTTAGAGGATTGAGGATGAATGGCAAAGATATCACTTTTTTGTGTGTCGGTCGCATTACTTCAAGCCAGTAGGCCACATCCTGCGTTGGTTACGTTCAGCAATGCATACATGTAAATCAGCCCAGTGTTTTTCCTCGTATTTCATCCGCACTGCTTCTAAACGCCATTTGCACTGCCTCAAACCATAGCGGTAATCAGCAGAGGATTTTGGAGGATTGAGGCAGTGGTCACCCTCCGCAGACTATAAATTCAAGAAATAACAGATGATTTTGGAGGATTGAGGCAGTCCAATTTTTTCTTGGTTGCAATTTGAGGATTTTGCAGGATTGAGGTTGCAACCTACCGGTAGCCAGAGGGCCTATGGGTGGTTAGGGTTAAAGAAATTTACGCATAAATGCAAGCTCCCAAATGTAGACATACTGTTCCTGAAAATTAATAAAACTGCTGCAAACTGCTTACTATCTGTATTGACCTGAAGTTCAAGTGGGTAAATACCTTGTTCTATGGTCTGTGACAGCTTTTAAGAGATACACATCCATCATGGTCAAGGAGATTACACACTAGAAGTTTTGAAACATTTCTCTGATTTATTAATTAGATACCGGTATCACATTCAATTGGCTCTGTTCACTTTCTTAAATTATAATGTTTGAATTAATTGCCCAGATGTAAAAAAGAATGTTCTAGGGCTTAATTTTTCATCCTACCGGTACCAGGATCTTTTGTGAAAGAAAGAAAAGGATTCCTGTTGAAACAAATGTAAGACATTGGTGTAACCCTAATCCTCCCAAATCCTCCAAAATCTTCCAAAATCTTCTTTGCGTAAGTGGAGGGTTACGAATGATTGAGGCTGTTTGGTGAAATTGTGTGGCTGATGATTTTGGAGGATGCATTATGGCAAGGTTTCAGGCTGAACCTTTTTCTTGTTTTATGCTTTGCCGTGCATAAATTTAGGACTAGATTACACTTGAAATCATCCACACTACTCAAGGATTGGCACTGCCTCAACATACATGAACAGTGATTGTTGGAGATTTTGCAGGATTCAGGCTGTGGTCACCCCTCCAATGAAAAAAAAATTCAAGAAATAACGGATGAGTTTTGAGGATTTAGGCTAAATCCAATTTGGAGACAGTTGGAGGATTTTGCAGGATTGAGGTTACACCCAACAAAAATGCCCAGGGGGTTAGGCATGTTAGGGTTTCAAATCGTAAAATTTGTCTGCAAGCCAGCGCAAGGGAAACCTCGCTAACTCTCCTTCTGTGTCAAGAGTCATCCCCTGTTTATAAGTGCATGACCAAGTTGTACATGTAACATCACCTGTCTTTTGTTTCTACAGTGGCCCTGCATGACCCCAAACAAATTGTAAAATAAGCTCCCACCACCCATGCAAAAGATAATCATGGCGGTAATGTATTCCCTTAGTATTTTTGAACAGTGCAATTTTTATCATTTTCTTATCATCCCATAATCATTTCAACTACATCAACATCTACATTTGTAAATTTACCCGAAAACAGATCACAAAAAGATGTGCGTGAATTGTTTTCGTTTTGCTGAAAGAACACACACTTTTTTTGTGATCCGTCGACAGAACTTTAAAACGGTGGTTGTGTTTACATGTAAAACTCCTTACCTAACTTGAAAAGTACACATATGTACATGAGTGATTTGAATGATTCTTATACTAACAAAAAGCTTATGAATTGGACCGTCATATCCTAGATTTTGAAAATGCTACATGCAGAACTTCACTAAAACAATGGTCCTGACATTTGGGTTTCGGTTTTTTTTTTACTCACCCTGCATTGGGGACATGTATGTATGATATACATTTTGTACAATGTATCAGTGTATCAATACAAATGTATTTACATTGTATTTACATGATTCAGTGTATTACAATTTGCTTACAATGTATACAGTATCAAGTAGGTACGTGTACATTGTACAATTATACAATGTCCACACTTACAAAGCTCAGTTTACATGTACACATCTATTCATTCTTCACTGTCATTTGGCAAAACCTAATATTGATTGACATCACCTGATGCAAATTCCGTCTTACGAAGTATTTAATTTCTTGTTGTGACATTTATATGACTGCTTGTACTATACACTGTACATTGTACACATCAATCTTCCGGTATGTACCAGTAAATCCTCTACAAATGTATAGGACATAAACTTTGACATGAAAATATAGGATCGCAGGAGCTACACTCTCCAGTATACATGTACAGTATATCCCCGCCCTATTCACCCGACTGCCCAATATTCATGTCGACGTTGTAATCATATCAACTAGGCATACATAATCAGACACAGCCTCTGCCTATATACTCTCACACTCACGGCACGCGCTCATGCCTGCAATCTGTCTTACGACGTCCCTTAGAGAAAGGGAAAAATACCGTATGCTCCCCTTTACTCGTGTCATCTATTATTTTTTCTCCCGAAGCCTGCGTCCCCTCCCGATCCACATTTGTCATTTAGTGGGGAAGGCTGGGACTATTTAATGGAGTTCCCATTGCGATAGTCACTGTACAGAACTACGTACAAGTCAATTTTTTTTTTTAATGGTGAAGTTTACGGTGGACGATTTATCGACTTGGGAGCACCAGTGTGTCCCTCCGCTTGTAATAATAACATGAGCAGTGAATGCCTTGTTTATTTTTTATTACATCGTATGTACATGTACATCATGAACACAGGAAGGCATTCTGTCGAAATCAGGTTTCATTTGCTGGCCTAGTCATTTGTTCAACCTTTGCTCTTTGAGTGTCAATTTTTTTGGCCATTTGTCAGGACATGCCAGATTGCCAATTTAGGCTTCTTGGCATTTCTTGGAGTGTGTGGCTTCTCACCCTTGAAGTCTAGATGCAGCAAGAATGGGGCATTCTCTTAATAGAGAAAGTATTGAAGTGTTTGGACAGTGTGAGTCTACATGCATGTAAATTTTGACATCTTAAGGTTTATTTGCTTTGTTATTATGTTGGAGGACTTTGAATTACAATGTCGTTGATTGGTAAATTAAAGTAGAAAAGGACGATTAAACCTTCCCCCACCCCAAAAAAAAAATTAAAATAAAAAAATAAAAAATAAAACAATTAAAAAATAAATAAAAAATAAATAAATAAATAGATAAATTAATTAATATAAAATCGTCAGCAACACCACGAAGTAACGCCCATGTACATACATGTACCAGTAAAAACTAGCAATCGGAGAAAACGGCATCTAAAGTTGAACGCGTTCTAAAACAACACCTTTCGTCAAAACGGCAGAGTATTTTCAGTTGGGTTTCTCGTTGTGGACACTTGATGAATTGAATTTATTAAATCTGCTGTTTTTCACCCGTTTGTTTATTAAATCAATAAAAAGAAATAAGAGAAAAAAGGTGAGTGTTAGTTCGTGAAACCGAAAAAGCTGCGAAACTGTAAATTTTCGTTTTCACAAAGTAACACTCTTCAATGAATACAACACAAGGAAAGTGCAACTTCAGGTCAGCGCGCGCGCGCTCATACAACTTATTACAAGGAGGGTGTTACTTCGTGAAAACGTTTTTGCTCAATTATGAGCAGAGTGCGCGCCTTGCATTGCAATGGTAAATGGAACTTGAGTGTTACTTCGTGAAAACGAAAATTGTCACTTTTGCGCAAAAGTTGCCATGGATAATTAGCGTAATTATTAAAGTAAAACTCTTGAAGCTTTGAAACTTCGTGCAATGGTAGGCCTTGATGAATAATGGTTAAAAATGTAAAAAACTCAAAATCGAAAAAAAATACGGTTTAAAGGGAATATACATCATTTGCTTTTACTGTAATTTTCAAAAATGGATGGAATTGGGGGGTTGGAAATATATAGCAAATATAGTTACACTGACTTTTTTGAGGTTTTGGGTTCGAAAATGCTATAAAAACCAAGAAAAACAATCATTTTTCTGTAGTCTGGTTCTCTGACTCCATATAAGAAGAAACAGAGCAGTTTACATACATTGGGAAATTGTAAGGTCAGGGAACCAGTCCAGCTGGCTCGTACCCGTTCATAGGTTTGTAATCGATTGCAAACAAGTGCGATGGTCAATTGGGGCCAGTATTTGAAAAAAAGCCAGTTTTTTTCCAACGCTGATCGGCCGATCAGCGTTGGAAATTGATACAAAAATACCACTTTTCTTGAAAATGACAGTATACCAGGTGCCATGATTTTACAGGATGCTTTACACTGTCATTCACTAACAGTCCAGCAAGGTATTTCAAAATGATTTTGGAGTTTTATTTTTTGATGTTTGCAAATGTTGTATTTTCCCTTTAACACGTGGAGTCGGTGGTGTCGGTGACGAAATAATGAAGAAGTGTGTACATTTTGGTGACACTGTTATTTTAAGAATTCACTTAAACAGTATCCTGTTTATCAAACTATCAATATGCAGTACAGTCAGTGAGTTATAGGCGATTAGGCGTTCTTGCATACATGTAGTGTCACCCTTTTTAACCTCAACCTTCCCAAATGGAGGATTTTGCAGGATTGAGGCTATAACAGCAAAAACGATTTTGGAGGATGCACTGTGTCAAGGTCTTAATTGGGCCGGACCTTTTTGTTGTTTATGCCCAGCCGTGAATAAATTTAGGCCTACGTACATTACATGTACATACTTGAAATCCTCATCCGCATTGCTCCAGGATGTCACTGGTCTGCATCAACATATTGACAGTGATTGCTGGAGCTTTTTCTTAGGATTGAGGTAGTGGTCACCCCTCCAAGGACCGCATTCAAAAAATAACAGAGGATTTTGGAGGACTGAGGCTGTATGCAATTTTCACATGGAGGCAGTTGGAGGATCTCACTGGATTGAGGTTGCATCCTAGCAAAACAGGGAGTTACATGTAGGTTTAATGATGTGTACGCGTCCATTTAGCCACAATACACGTGTCAAATTCTATTCCTGATTTTGATGAAAGTTGGACCAATCTCTCAAGTCATCATGCATATTTGTATCACTTGAAGGGATAATAATCTGTCTTCACCAAATTCCCTGACATGAAAATTTTTCTCAGGTTACACTGTATACATGTACATGTACTTGTACAAATGTGCATACATACGCCGAGCTGCGTATTCAGGTGGAATATGACAGACATTAGTGACAGGCTTCTGCACGGGCGACATGTGCGCAGTGTTAATGCATGCATAAATTGTCGTCGCGGCCTGGTCTCGTATCGTGTGTTCTTGGGAGCTGAGGCACTGGTACATGCACCGTGTCTTGGGGCCTCCTGGGGGAAAATCGAGCCACTTGGAAATACTGGCTAAGGGTTTTCTCAAAGATTTGTTCACATCTTTTTTTTGGGGGGGGGATTTTATTAATGGCCCAACAGCTTGCTCAGTCGTGGCGTGGGTTTTGTGGTCTGCCTAAGGGGCCCGCCGAGAATTTTCGATTATTAAAGGTTCATTTTTGTAGGTACATGTAGAATCATTTGCATTTTGTGCATTTATTATTATTATTATTGCTGAACATTTATTTCAACGTTGTTATGTCACTAGAAATATTAAATCGTTATGTTAACATTTAAGCATACAAAATATAATACGAAGTAATATTACACAACACCGTTATTAACATAATGAAAATATATACATAATCCACATATAACAACACGGGGATAGGGTGATGAAGCGATCACTTTTGTTCCCTGACCCGTTGGACACTTATAGATGTAACAAAATTGTTCAAAATCTTAAAGGGAAGATACAACATTTGCAAACATAACAAAGCGAACTGATCATTTTATCATGAAATTCCTTACTGAATTGTTAGGGAATGGCAGTCTAAAGCATCCTGTAAAATCGTGGCTCCTGGTGGGCTGACATTTTCAACAAATATGGTATTTTTCCAACGCTGGTCAGTCAGTCAGTGCAACGCATACACGTACATGTTGGTATGAAAAGGACGCTTAGCTGGCCCTCGGCGACAAGTAGAAAAAAATACAATCAGATGTTAATTGTAACGTGAACCACAGTAATCATCTTTAAGTGCATACAGTTTTTTGGCATTAAGTCTTTTGTCTATGTGAATTGATTGAAGAAAAAAATCCATTATCGACCCCATGATTTAGCGCACAGTGATGAAGTAATGTTGGTGCGGTCCAGTTGACATGGGAAAACATTGCGATGTAGTTTTCGCCAAACTAGCAGGAGGAATCAATCAAAGAGCTGTACCTGTGCATAAATTCACTGCTGGTTCATTACATTTTACCCCGGGGGGGGGGGGGGGGGGACCTTGGTTTCTAGTTAATCTGTTTGATGTCTCCTGTAGGCGAATCCGCAAAACAACGTGCAGTGGCGTAATTCAGCCTATAAATGCCACACTTTATTGAACAACTTTCGCAACATTTCAGTTACATGCATGTACATGACACAATTTACGAAAGTTGTAGAGTGCATACATTGTAAGTCTGTGATTTACGCAACAAATTATGGCCTGACT